GAGCCCCTACAGGAGTCCCTACAGGAGTCCCTACAGGAGTCTCTACAGGAGGCCCTACAGGAGGCCCTACAGGAGTCCCTACAGGAGTCCCTACAGGAGTCCCTACAGGAGGCCCTACAGGAGTCCCTACAGGAGTCCCTACAGGAGTCCCTACAGGAGTCCCTACAGGAGGCCCTACAGGAGTCCCTACAGGAGTCCCTACAGGAGTCCCTACAGGAGGCCCTACAGGAGTCCCTACAGGAGCCCCTACAGGAGCCCCTAAAGGAGTCCCTACAGGAGTCCCTACAGGAGTCCCTACAGGAGCCCCTACAGGAGGCCCTACAGGAGCCCCTACAGGAGTCCCTACAGGAGTCCCTACAGGAGTCTCTACAGGAGGCCCTACAGGAGGCCCTACAGGAGTCCCTACAGGAGGCCCTACAGGAGTCCCTACAGGAGGCCCTACAGGAGGCCCTACAGGAGTCCCTACAGGAGTCCCTACAGGAGTCCCTACAGGAGTCCCTACAGGAGGCCCTACAGGAGTCCCTACAGGAGTCCCTACAGGAGTCCCTACAGGAGTCCCTACAGGAGTCCCTACAGGAGTCCCTACAGGAGTCCCTACAGGAGTCCCTACAGGAGCCCCTACAGGAGTCCCTACAGGAGTCCCTACAGGAGGCCCTACAGGAGTCCCTACAGGAGTCCCTACAGGAGTCTCTACAGGAGTCCCTACAGGAGTCCCTACAGGAGTCCCTACAGGAGTCCCTACAGGAGTCCCTACAGGAGTCCCTACAGGAGGCCCTACAGGAGGCCCTACAGGAGTCCCTACAGGAGTCCCTACAGGAGTCCCTACAGGAGTCCCTACAGGAGGCCCTACAGGAGTCCCTACAGGAGTCCCTACAGGAGTCCCTACAGGAGTCTCTACAGGAGTCCCTACAGGAGTCTCTACAGGAGTCTCTACAGGAGTCTCTACAGGAGTCTCTACAGGAGGCCCTACAGGAGGCCCTACAGGAGTCCCTACAGGAGTCCCTACAGGAGTCTCTACAGGAGGCCCTACAGGAGGCCCTACAGGAGTCCCTACAGGAGTCCCTACAGGAGCCCCTACAGGAGTCCCTACAGGAGTCCCTACAGGAGGCCCTACAGGAGTCCCTACAGGAGTCCCTACAGGAGTCTCTACAGGAGTCCCTACAGGAGTCCCTACAGGAGTCCCTACAGGAGGCCCTACAGGAGTCCCTACAGGAGTCCCTACAGGAGTCCCTACAGGAGTCCCTACAGGAGGCCCTACAGGAGGCCCTACAGGAGTCCCTACAGGAGTCCCTACAGGAGTCCCTACAGGAGGCCCTACAGGAGTCCCTACAGGAGTCCCTACAGGAGTCCCTACAGGAGTCCCTACAGGAGTCTCTACAGGAGGCCCTACAGGAGTCCCTACAGGAGTCCCTACAGGAGGCCCTACAGGAGTCCCTACAGGAGTCCCTACAGGAGTCTCTACAGGAGTCCCTACAGGAGGCCCTACAGGAGGCCCTACAGGAGTCACTACAGGAGTCCCTACAGGAGTCCCTACAGGAGGCCCTACAGGAGTCTCTACAGGAGTCCCTACAGGAGTCCCTACAGGAGTCCCTACAGGAGTCCCTACAGGAGTCCCTACAGGAGTCCCTACAGGAGTCTCTACAGGAGTCTCTACAGGAGTCTCTACAGGAGTCTCTACAGGAGTCTCTACAGGAGGCCCTACAGGAGTCTCTACAGGAGTCTCTACAGGAGTCTCTACAGGAGGCCCTACAGGAGTCCCTACAGGAGTCCCTACAGGAGTCCCTACAGGAGTCTCTACAGGAGTCCCTACAGGAGTCCCTACAGGAGTCCCTACAGGAGTCCCTACAGGAGTCCCTACAGGAGTCCCTACAGGAGTCCCTACAGGATTCCCTACAGGAGGCCCTACAGGAGTCCCTACAGGAGGCCCTACAGGAGTCCCTACAGGAGTCCCTACAGGATTCCCTACAGGAGGCCCTACAGGAGTCCCTACAGGAGTCCCTACAGGATTCCCTACAGGAGGCCCTACAGGAGTCCCTACAGGAGTCCCTACAGGAGTCCCTACAGGAGTCCCTACAGGAGTCCCTACAGGAGTCCCTACAGGAGTCCCTACAGGAGCCCCTACAGGAGTCCCTACAGGAGTCCCTACAGGAGGCCCTACAGGAGTCCCTACAGGAGTCCCTACAGGAGTCTCTACAGGAGTCCCTACAGGAGTCCCTACAGGAGTCCCTACAGGAGTCCCTACAGGAGTCCCTACAGGAGTCCCTACAGGAGGCCCTACAGGAGGCCCTACAGGAGTCCCTACAGGAGTCCCTACAGGAGTCCCTACAGGAGTCCCTACAGGAGGCCCTACAGGAGTCCCTACAGGAGTCCCTACAGGAGTCCCTACAGGAGTCTCTACAGGAGTCCCTACAGGAGTCTCTACAGGAGTCTCTACAGGAGTCTCTACAGGAGTCTCTACAGGAGGCCCTACAGGAGGCCCTACAGGAGTCCCTACAGGAGTCCCTACAGGAGTCTCTACAGGAGGCCCTACAGGAGGCCCTACAGGAGTCCCTACAGGAGTCCCTACAGGAGCCCCTACAGGAGTCCCTACAGGAGTCCCTACAGGAGGCCCTACAGGAGTCCCTACAGGAGTCCCTACAGGAGTCTCTACAGGAGTCCCTACAGGAGTCCCTACAGGAGTCCCTACAGGAGGCCCTACAGGAGTCCCTACAGGAGTCCCTACAGGAGTCCCTACAGGAGTCCCTACAGGAGGCCCTACAGGAGGCCCTACAGGAGTCCCTACAGGAGTCCCTACAGGAGTCCCTACAGGAGGCCCTACAGGAGTCCCTACAGGAGTCCCTACAGGAGTCCCTACAGGAGTCCCTACAGGAGTCTCTACAGGAGGCCCTACAGGAGTCCCTACAGGAGTCCCTACAGGAGGCCCTACAGGAGTCCCTACAGGAGTCCCTACAGGAGTCTCTACAGGAGTCCCTACAGGAGGCCCTACAGGAGGCCCTACAGGAGTCCCTACAGGAGTCCCTACAGGAGTCCCTACAGGAGTCCCTACAGGAGGCCCTACAGGAGTCCCTACAGGAGTCCCTACAGGAGTCCCTACAGGAGTCCCTACAGGAGTCCCTACAGGAGGCCCTACAGGAGTCCCTACAGGAGGCCCTACAGGAGGCCCTACAGGAGTCCCTACAGGAGTCCCTACAGGAGTCCCTACAGGAGGCCCTACAGGAGTCTCTACAGGAGTCCCTACAGGAGTCCCTACAGGAGTCCCTACAGGAGTCCCTACAGGAGTCCCTACAGGAGTCTCTACAGGAGTCTCTACAGGAGGCCCTACAGGAGTCCCTACAGGAGTCCCTACAGGAGTCCCTACAGGAGTCCCTACAGGAGTCCCTACAGGAGTCCCGGCCTCCGTTGTGGGCAACTTCTACAGAGGGACTGTAGAGAGCATCCTGAGCAGCTCCATCACTGCCTCCTGCCGAAGGAGAGCAGCAGAGCAGATCTGTGGAGCCCTCTCTCCACCATTAAGGACATGTACTCCACCCGTCTCACCCGCAAAGCCGTCAGAATCACCAGGGGCCCTACGCACCCATCACACAGGCTCTTCAGGGGCCTTCAGGGAGGAGTTCCAGTCGACTTAAAAACAGTTTCATTCACAAGGACATCAGGAAGCTGAACTCCCTGCCCTCCCCCTCTTCCCTCACCCCTCTTCCCCCAGAGAGACCAGAGAGAGACCAGAGAGAGACCAGAGAGAGACCAGAGAGAGACCAGAGAGAGACCAGAGAGACCAGAGAGAGACCCGAGAGAGAGACCCGAGAGAGACCAGAGAGAGACCCGAGAGAGAGAGACCCGAGAGAGACCAGAGAGAGACCCGAGAGAGACCCGAGAGAGACCCGAGAGAGACCCGAGAGAGACCAGAGAGAGACCAGAGAGAGACCAGAGAGAGACCAGAGAGAGACCAGAGAGACCAGAGAGAGACCAGAGAGAGACCAGAGAGAGACCAGAGAGAGACCAGAGAGAGACCAGAGAGAGACCAGAGAGAGACCAGAGAGAGACCAGAGAGAGACCAGAGAGAGAGACCAGAGAGAGACCAGAGAGAGAGACCAGAGAGAGACCAGAGAGAGACCAGAGAGAGACCAGAGAGAGACCAGAGAGAGAGACCAGAGAGAGAGACCAGAGAGAGACCAGAGAGAGACCAGAGAGAGACCAGAGAGAGACCAGAGAGAGACCAGAGAGAGACCAGAGAGAGACCAGAGAGAGACCAGAGAGAGACCAGAGAGAGACCAGAGAGAGACCAGAGAGAGACCAGAGAGAGACCAGAGAGAGACCAGAGAGAGACCAGAGAGGAGACCAGAGAGAGACCAGAGAGAGACCAGAGAGAGAGACCAGAGAGAGACCAGAGAGAGAGACCAGAGAGAGAGACCAGAGAGAGAGACCAGAGAGAGACCAGAGAGAGAGAGAGACAGAGAGAGACCAGAGAGAGACCAGAGAGAGAGAGACCAGAGAGAGACCAGAGAGAGACCAGAGAGACCAGAGAGAGACCAGAGAGAGACCAGAGAGAGACCAGAGAGAGACCAGAGAGAGACCAGAGAGAGACCAGAGAGAGACCAGAGAGAGACCAGAGAGAGACCAGAGAGAGAGACCAGAGAGAGACCAGAGAGAGAGACCAGAGAGAGACCAGAGAGAGAGACCAGAGAGAGACCAGAGAGAGACCAGAGAGAGAGACCAGAGAGAGAGACCAGAGAGAGAGACCAGAGAGAGAGACCAGAGAGAGAGACCAGAGAGAGACCAGAGAGAGACCAGAGAGAGACCAGAGAGAGACCAGAGAGAGACCAGAGAGAGACCAGAGAGAGAGACCAGAGAGAGAGACCAGAGAGAGAGACCAGAGAGAGACCAGAGAGAGACCAGAGAGAGAGACCAGAGAGAGACCAGAGAGAGACCAGAGGGAGACCAGAGAGAGACCAGAGAGAGACCAGAGAGAGACCAGAGAGAGACCAGAGAGAGACCAGAGAGAGACCAGAGAGAGACCAGAGGTGCTGTTGGAAACATACGGCGAATGAAAAGTGTGACACCATAATCTGTGAAAGATAAAAACAAAATGGCCGCTTGTGACACATTATAAAATGGACGGATGGAAACTTGGCCAAACACTTTGAGGTTAAAGTTGTGAGAAAACGCTTTAAACACGTTGCTCTGATTTGGAGGAAGAATAATCTTTTACACATTGTCTTTATTCTCCTGAGGCTGGAATCCCCCGAACCCTGAACAAACACCTCCTGCTCCTCCTGCACCTCCTGCTCCTCCTGATCCTCCTGCTCCTCCTGCACCTCCTGCTCCTCCTGCACCTCCTGCTCCTCCTGCTCCTCCTGCTCCCTCCTGCTCCTCCTGCACCTCCTGCTCCTCCTGCTCCTCCTGCACCTCCTGCTCCTCCTGCACCTCCTGCTCCTCCTGCACCTCCTGCTCCTCCTGCTCCTCCTGCACCTCCTGCTCCTCCTGATCCTCCTGCACCTCCTGCTCCTCCTGCTCCTCCTGCACCTCCTGCTCCTCCTGCACCTCCTGCTCCTCCTGCTCCTCCTGCACCTCCTGCTCCTCCTGATCCCTCCTGCACCTCCTGCTCCTCCTGCACCTCCTGCTCCTCCTGATCCTCCTGCTCCTCCTGCTCCTCCTGCTCCTCCTGCACCTCCTGCTCCTCCTGCACCTCCTGCTCCTCCTGCTCCTCCTGCACCTCCTGCTCCTCCTGCACCTCCTGCACCTCCTGCTCCTCCTGCTCCTCCTGCACCTCCTGCACCTCCTGCTCCTCCTGCACCTCCTGCTCCTCCTGCTCCTCCTGATCCTCCTGCACCTCCTGCTCCTCCTGCTCCTCCTGATCCTCCTGATCCTCCTGCTCCTCCTGCTCCTCCTGATCCTCCTGATCCTCCTGATCCTCCTGCTCCTCCTGATCCTCCTGATCCTCCTGCTCCTCCTGATCCTCCTGATCCTCCTGCTCCTCCTGATCCTCCTGCTCCTCCTGATCCTCCTGATCCTCCTGCTCCTCCTGATCCTCCTGATCCTCCTGCTCCTCCTGCTCCTCCTGCACCTCCTGCTCCTCCTGCTCCTCCTGCACCTCCTGCTCCTCCTGCTCCTCCTGCTCCTCCTGCTCCTCCTGCTCCTCCTGCTCCTCCTGATCCTCCTGCTCCTCCTGCACCTCCTGCTCCTCCTGATCCTCCTGATCCTCCTGCTCCTCTCTGCACCTCCTGCTCCTCCTGATCCTCCTGATCCTCCTGCTCCTCCTGCTCTTTACTCCTGTCTCTCTCACAGAAACTCATCAAACTCTGAGCTCAGAGCTCCAGGCCAAAGACAACAGCCTCACAAGAGACCGCAAAGCCCCCAGTGTAGGGGTCATGCTGGTCACCTCTGCTCCAACACACGCTCCCATGGTCTTTCTCTTTGGTCTCTCTCTGGTCTCTCTCTGGTCTCTCTCTCTGGTCTCTCTCCCTGGTCTCTCTTTGGTCTCTCTCTGGTCTCTCTCTGGTCTCTCTCTCTGGTCTCTCTCTCTGGTCTCTCTCTGGTCTCTCTCTGGTCTCTCTCTCTGGTCTCTCTCTGGTCTCTCTCAGGTCTCTCTGGTCTCTCTCTCTGGTCTCTCTCTCTGGTCTCTCTCAGGTCTCTCTGGTCTCTCTCTCTGGTCTCTCTCTGGTCTCTCTCTCTGGTCTCTCTGGTCTCTCTCTCTGGTCTCTCTCAGGTCTCTCTGGTCTCCCTCTGGTCTGTCCCTGGTCTCTCTCTGGTCTCTCTCAGGTCTCTCTGGTCTCCCTCTGGTCTCTCTCTGGTCTCTCTCTGGTCTCTCTCTGGTCTCTCTGGTCGTGTGTGTGTTTCAGAACATGTGTGTGTGTGTGTGTTTCAGAACTTGTATGTGTGTGTGTTTCAGAACATGTGTTTGTGTATTTCAGAACATGTCTGTGTGTGTTTCAGAACATATGTGCGTGTGTGTGTGTTTCAGAACATTTTTGTGTGTTTCAGAACATGTGTGTGTGTGTTTCAGAACATTTTTGTGTGTTTCAGAACATGTGTGTGTGTTTCAGAACATGTATGTGTGTGTTTCAGAACTTGTATGTGTGTTTCAGAACATGTGTGTGTGTGTGTTTAAGAACATGAGTGTGTTTCATAACGTGTGGGTGTGTTTCAGAACATGTGTGTGTGTTTCAGAACATATGTTTGTGTGTTTCAGAACATGTGTTTGTGTTTCAGAACATATGTTTGTGTGTTTCAGAACATGTGTGTGTGTGTGTTTCAGAACGTGTGTGTGTGTTTCAGAACATGTGTGTGTGTGTGTGTTTCATAACGTGTGTGTGTGTTTCAGAACATGTTTGTGTGTGTTTCAGAACATGTGTGTGTGTGTGTTTCAGAACATGTTTTTGTGTATCAGAACATGTGTGTGTGTTTCAGAACATGTTTGTGTGTTTCAGAACATGTGTGTGTGTTTCAGAACATGTGTGTCTGTGTTTCAGAACATGTCTGTGTGTGTGTTTCAGAACATGTTTGTGTGTGTTTCAGAACATGTGTGTGTGTGTGTTTCAGAACATGTATGTGTGTGTGTGTGTGTGTGTTTCCGAACATGTATGTGTGTGTGTTTCAGAACATGTATGTGTGTGTGTTTCAGAACATGTATGTGTGTGTGTTTCAGAACATGTGTGTGTGTGTGTTTCAGAACTTGTATGTGTGTGTGTTTCAGAACATGTGTTTGTGTATTTCAGAACATGTCTGTGTGTGTTTCAGAACATATGTGCGTGTGTGTGTGTTTCAGCACATTTTTGTGTGTTTCAGAACATGTGTGTGTGTGTTTCAGAACATTTTTGTGTGTTTCAGAATATGTGTGTGTTTCAGAACATGTGTGTGTCTTTCATAGCATGTGTGTGTGTGTGTGTTTCAGAACAAGTGTGTGTTTCAGAACATGTGTGTGTGTTTCAGAACATGTATGTGTGTGTTTCAGAACTTGTATGTGTGTTTCAGAACATGTGTGTGTGTGTGTTTAAGAACATGAGTGTGTTTCATAACGTGTGGGTGTGTTTCAGAACATGTGTGTGTGTTTCAGAACATATGTTTGTGTGTTTCAGAACATGTGTTTGTGTTTCAGAACATATGTTTGTGTGTTTCAGAACATGTGTGTGTGTTTCAGAACATGTGTGTGTGTGTGTTTCAGAACGTGTGTGTGTGTTTCAGAACATGTGTGTGTGTGTGTGTTTCATAACGTGTGTGTGTGTTTCAGAACATGTGTGTGTGTTTCAGAACAAGTGTGTGTGTGTTTCAGAACATGTTTGTGTGTGTTTCAGAACATGTGTGTGTGTGTGTTTCAGAACATGTTTTTGTGTTTCAGAACATGTGTGTGTGTTTCAGAACATGTTTGTGTGTTTCAGAACATGTGTGTGTGTTTCAGAACATGTGTGTCTGTGTTTCAGAACATGTCTGTGTGTGTGTTTCAGAACATGTTTGTGTGTGTTTCAGAACATGTGTGTGTGTGTGTTTCAGAACATGTATGTGTGTGTGTGTGTGTTTCCGAACATGTATGTGTGTGTGTTTCAGAACATGTATGTGTGTGTGTTTCCGAACATGTATGTGTGTGTGTTTCAGAACATGTATGTGTGTGTGTTTCAGAACATGTGTGTGTGTGTGTGTTTCAGAACATGTATGTGTGTTTCCGAACATGTATGTGTGTGTGTTTCAGAACTTGTATGTGTGTGTGTTTCAGAACATGTGTGTGTGTATTTCAGAACATGTCTCTGTGTGCTTCAGAACATATGTGCGTGTGTGTGTGTGTTTCAGCACATTTTTGTGTGTTTCAGAACATGTGTGTGTGTTTCAGAACATGTTTGTGTGTTTCAGAACATGTGTGTGTGTTTTATAACGTTTGTGTGTGTTTCAGAACAAGTGTGTGTTTCAGAACATGTATGTGTGTGTTTCAGAACTTGTATGTGTGTTTCAGAACATGTGTGTGTGTGTTTAAGAACATGAGTGTGTTTCAGAACATGTGTGTGTTTCAGAACATGTGTGTGTGTGTTTCAGAACATGTGTGTGTGTTTCATAACGTGTGGGTGTGTTTCAGAACATGTGTGTGTGTTTCAGAACATATGTTTGTGTGTTTCAGAACATGTGTGTGTGTTTCAGAACATGTGTGTGTGTGTGTTTCAGAACGTGTGTGTGTGTTTCAGAACATGTGTGTGTGTGTGTTTCATAACCATGTGTGTGTTTCATAACGTGTGTGTGTGTGTGTTTCAGAACATGTGTGTGTGTTTAAAAACGTGTGTGTGTGTGTTTCAGAACATTTTTGTGTGTTTCAGAACATTTGTGTGTGTGTGTGTGTTTCAGCACATTTTTGTGTGTATCAGAACATGTGTGTGTGTTTCAGAACATGTGTGTGTGTGTTTCAGAACATGTGTGTGTGTGTGTTTCAGAACTTGTATGTGTGTTTCAGAACATGTGTGTGTGTGTGTTTAAGAACATGAGTTTGTTTCAGAACATGTGTGTGTTTCAGAACATGTGTGTGTGTTTCAGAACATGTGTGTGTTTCATAACGTGTGGGTGTGTTTCAGATCATGTGTGTGTGTTTCAGAACATATGTTTGTGTGTTTCAGAACATGTGTGTGTGTTTCAGAACATGTGTATGTGTGTGTTTCAGAACGTGTGTGTGTTTCAGAACATGTGTGTGTGTTTCAGAACATGTGTGTGTGTGTTTCAGAACATGTGTGTGTGTTTAAAAACATGTCTGTGTGTGTTTCAGAACATGTGTGTGTGTTTCAGAACATGTGTGTGTGTTTTTCAGAACATTTTTGTGTGTTTCAGAACATGTGTGTGTGTGTGTGTTTCAGCACATTTTTGTGTGTTTCAGAACATGTGTGTGTGTTTTAGAACATGTGTGTGTGTTTCAGAACATGTGTGTGTGTGTTTCAGAACATGTCTGTGTGTGTTTCAGAACATGTTTGTGTGTTTTTCAGCACATTTTTGTGTGTTTTAGAACATTTATGTGTGTGTGTGTGTGTGTTTCAGCACATTTTTGTGTGTTTCAGAACATGTTTGTGTGTGTTTCAGAACATGTGTGTGTGTGTTTCAGAATATGTGTGTGTGTGTGTGTTTCAGAACATGTGTGTGTGTATGTTTCAGAACATGTTTGTGTGTGTTTCAGAACTTGTGTGTGTGTTTCAGAACATGTGTGTGTGTTTCAGAACATGTGTGTGTGTGTTTCAGAACATGTCTGTGTGTGTTTCAGAACATGTTTGTGTGTGTTTTTCAGCACATATTTGTGTGTTTCAGAACATGTGTGTGTGTGTGTGTGTGTTGTTTCAGCACATTTTTGTGTGTTTCAGAACAAGTGTGTGTGTGTGTGTGTGTTTCAGAACATGTGTGTGTGTATGTTTCAGAACATGTATATACGTGTTTCAGAACATGTTTGTGTGTGTTTCAGAACTTGTGTGTGTGTTTCAGAACATGTGTGTTTCAGAACATGTGTGTGTGTGTTTCAGAACATGTCTGTGTGTGTTTCAGAACATGTTTGTGTGTGTTTTTCAGCACATTTTTGTGTGTTTCAGAACATGTGTGTGTGTGTGTGTGTTTCAACACATTTTTGTGTGTTTCAGAACATGTGTGTGTGTTTCAGAACATGTTTGTGTGTGTTTCAGAACATGTGTGTGTGTTTCAGAACATGTGTGTGTGTTTCAGAACATGTCTGTGTGTGTTTCAGAACATCTTTATGTGTGTTTTCCAGCACATTGTTGTGTGTTTCAGAACATGTGTGTGTCTGTGTGTTTCAGAACATGTGTGTGTCTGTGTGTTTCAGAACATGTTTGTGTGTATTTCAGAACATGTCTGTGTGTGTTTCAGAACATGTGTGCGTGTGTGTGTGTTTCAGCACATTTTTGTGTGTTTCAGAACATGTGTGTGTGTTTCAGAACATGTTTGTGTGTTTTCAGACGGACAGCAGTGGTGCAGACAGTAGCTCTCTTTAACGTGTGTGTGTGTGTTTTCAGACGGACAGCAGTGGCGCAGACAGTAGCTCTCTGTAACGTGTGTGTGTGTTTTCAGACGGACAGCAGTGGTGCAGACAGTAGCTCTCTTTAACGTGTGTGTGTGTGTGTATTTTCAGACGGACAGCAGTGGTGCAGACAGTAGCTCTCTTTAACGTGTGTGTGTGTTTTCAGACGGACAGCAGTGGCGCAGACAGTAGCTCTCTGTAGCTCTCTTTAACGTGTGTGTGTGTTTTCAGACGGACAGCAGTGGCGCAGACAGTAGCTCTCTGTAGCTCTCTTTAACGTGTGTATGTGTTTTCAGACGGACAGCAGTGGGGCAGACAGTAGCTCTCTGTAGCTCTCTTTAACGTGTGTGTGTGTTTTCAGACGGACAGCAGTGGTGCAGACAGTAGCTCTCTGTAGCTCTCTGTAACGTGTGTGTGTTTTCAGACTGACAGCAGTGGTGCAGACAGTAGCTCTCTGTAGCTCTCTGTAACGTGTGTGTGTGTTTTCAGACGGACAGCAGTGGGGCAGACAGTAGCTCTCTGTAACGTGTGTGTGTGTGTTTTCAGACGGACAGCAGTGGGGCAGACAGTAGCTCTCTGTAGCTGTCTTTAACGTGTGTGTGTGTGTTTTCAGACGGACAGCAGTGGCGCAGACAGTAGCTCTCTGTAACGTGTGTGTGTGTTTTCAGACGGACAGCAGTGGTGCAGACAGTAGCTCTCTTTAACGTGTGTGTGTGTGTGTTTTCAGACGGACAGCAGTGGTGCAGACAGTAGCTCTCTTTAACGTGTGTGTGTGTGTGTTTTCAGACGGACAGCAGTGGCGCAGACAGTAGCTCTCTGTAGCTCTCTTTAACGTGTGTGTGTGTTTTCAGACGGACAGCAGTGGCGCAGACAGTAGCTCTCTGTAACGTGTGTGTGTGTGTTTTCAGACGGACAGCAGTGGTGCAGACAGTAGCTCTCTTTAACGTGTGTGTGTGTTTTCAGACGGACAGCAGTGGCGCAGACAGTAGCTCTCTGTAGCTCTCTTTAACGTGTGTGTGTGTTTTCAGACGGACAGCAGTGGGGCAGACAGTAGCTCTCTGTAGCTCTCTTTAACGTGTGTATGTGTTTTCAGACGGACAGCAGTGGGGCAGACAGTAGCTCTCTGTAGCTCTCTGTAACGTGTGTGTGTGTGTTTTCAGACGGACAGCAGTGGTGCAGACAGTAGCTCTCTGTAACGTGTGTGTGTGTGTTTTCAGACGGACAGCAGTGGGGCAGACAGTAGCTCTCTGTAGCTCTCTGTAACGTGTGTGTGTGTTTTCAGACGGACAGCAGTGGCGCAGACAGTAGCTCTCTGTAGCTCTGTGTAACGTGTGTGTGTGTTTTCAGACGGACAGCAGTGGCGCAGACAGTAGCTCTCTGTAGCTCTCTGTAACGTGTGTGTGTGTTTTCAGACGGACAGCAGTGGGGCAGACAGTAGCTCTCTGTAGCTCTCTGTAACGTGTGTGTGTGTTTTCAGACGGACAGCAGTGGGGCAGACAGTAGCTCTCTGTAGCTCTCTGTAACGTGTGTGTGTGTGTGTTTTCAGACGGACAGCAGTGGGGCAGACAGTAGCTCTCTGTAGCTCTCTGTAACGTGTGTGTGTGTGTTTTCAGACGGACAGCAGTGGTGCAGACAGTAGCTCTCTGTAACGTGTGTGTGTGTTTTCAGACGGACAGTAGCTCTCTGCAGCTCTCTGTAACGTGTGTGTGTGTTTTCAGACGGACAGCAGTGGGGCAGACAGTAGCTCTCTGTAGCTCTCTGTAACGTGTGTGTGTTTTCAGACGGACAGCAGTGGTGCAGACAGTAGCTCTCGTAGCTCTCTGTAACGTGTGTGTGTGTGTGTTTTCAGACGGACAGCAGTGGTGCAGACAGTAGCTCTCTGTAACGTGTGTGTGTGTGTTTTCAGACGGACAGCAGTGGGGCAGACAGTAGCTCTCTGTAGCTCTCTGTAACGTGTGTGTGTGTTTTCAGACGGACAGCAGTGGCGCAGACAGTAGCTCTCTGTAGCTCTGTGTAACGTGTGTGTGTGTTTTCAGACGGACAGCAGTGGCGCAGACAGTAGCTCTCTGTAGCTCTCTGTAACGTGTGTGTGTGTTTTCAGACGGACAGCAGTGGGGCAGACAGTAGCTCTCTGTAGCTCTCTGTAACGTGTGTGTGTGTTTTCAGACGGACAGCAGTGGGGCAGACAGTAGCTCTCTGTAGCTCTCTGTAACGTGTGTGTGTGTGTGTTTTCAGACGGACAGCAGTGGGGCAGACAGTAGCTCTCTGTAGCTCTCTGTAACGTGTGTGTGTGTGTTTTCAGACGGACAGCAGTGGTGCAGACAGTAGCTCTCTGTAACGTGTGTGTGTGTTTTCAGACGGACAGTAGCTCTCTGCAGCTCTCTGTAACGTGTGTGTGTTTTCAGACGGACAGCAGTGGGGCAGACAGTAGCTCTCTGTAGCTCTCTGTAACGTGTGTGTGTTTTCAGACGGACAGCAGTGGTGCAGACAGTAGCTCTCTGTAACGTGTGTGTGTGTTTTCAGACGGACAGTAGCTCTCTGTAGCTCTCTATAACGTGTGTGTGTTTTCAGACGGACAGCAGTGGTGCAGACAGTGCAGACGAGCACTTCCCTGTGGTCTCTCTGAGCAGCACAGTGGCCACGCAGAGCTCAGGAAAAGGACGAAAACCTAAGATCCTGCAGATCAGCCCCCCCACTCTGCTGGTCACGGCCTCAGACTTCTCCCCCATGAACCTGTGCAGTCCCTCTCTGCCCACGGCTTCTCTCACACCAGCAATGCTACAGGTAATACCATCAAACTGTTCGTGTGTTGCCCTAAATCACAGCATTAGTTTCTCAAAGGACTTTAAAGAGACGATTCTCCAACACAGATTAGAGAATCAATCAGCTTTAACACAGGAAGTGTGGAAACAATAAACACACATAAGGATCAGAGACCACTGTCTGTGAATGTGCTTGAATCTCCAAGTTCCTGGATCAACACCAGCGTTTAGAGCCTCCTGCATCTGCAAGAAACTACTCTAGAAACCCAGTGGGAGAAAAGGAGAAACCTCAGAGAGACCTCATTGAGGGTCTGCTCCCAGGGACAGACATACTGTGGATCCAACACTGAGGCTGCAGACCCAGGACTGAGGCTGCAGACCCAGGACTGAGGCTGTGGATCCAGGACTGAGGCTGTAGACCCAGGACCGAGGCTGTAGACCCAGGACTGAGGCTGCAGACCCAGGACTGAGGCTGTGGATCCAGGACTGAGGCTGTAGACCCAGGACCGAGGCTGTAGACCCAGGACTGAGGCTGTAGACCCAGGACTGAGACTGTGGATCCAGGACTGAGGCTGTGGATCCAGGACTGAGGCTGTAGACCCAGGACCGAGGCTGTAGACCCAGGACTGAGGCTGCAGACCCAGGACTGAGACTGTGGATCCAGGACTGAGGCTGTGGATCCAGGACCGAGGCTGTGGATCCAGGACTGAGGCTATAGACCCAGGACTGAGGCTGTAGACCCAGGACTGAGACTGTAGACCCAGGACTGAGGACTGAGGCTGTAGACCCAGGACTGAGGATGCAGACCCAGGACTGAGGCTGTAGATCCAGGACTGAGGCTGTAGACCCAGGACTGAGACTGTAGACCCAGGACTGAGGCTGTAGATCCAGGACTGAGGCTGTAGACCCAGGACTGAGGCTGTAGATCCAGGACTGAGGCTGTAGACCCAGGACTGAGGCTGTAGACCCAGAACTGTGAGACCACTCTCACTTTTCAGCAAGAAGACCCAAACTTTCCGGGTCAGGAGGTGATGTCACATGGTTCGCAGGGTCAGGAGGTGATGTCACATGGTTCGCAGGGTCAGGAGGTGATGTCACATGGTTCGCAGGGTCAGGAGGTGATGTCACATGGTTCTGAGGGTCAGGAGGTGATGTCACATGGTTCGCAGGGTCAGGAGGTGATGTCACATGGTTCTGAGGGTCAGGAGGTGATGTCACATGGTTCTGAGGGTCAGGAGGTGATGTCACATGGTTCTGAGGGTCAGGAGGTGATGTCACATGGTTCTGAGGGTCAGGAGGTGATGTCACATGGTTCTGAGGGTCAGGAGGTGATGTCACATGTCATTAGTGCTGAGTGCTGGCTCCTTTGTCGTGTGTTTACAGCTGGAGGTCAGGATGGACCGTTGCCGTGGCAACGCCTCCTGTGTGGCCCTCTCGGGTTTCCGTAGTCTCCACTTTCAGTGAATCTGATTAACTGGTCTGGACCTGGTTAGACCTGGTTAGACCTGGTTAGACCTGGTTGGATCTGGTTGGACATGGTTTCCCTCTGGTTTCTCTCTGGTCTCTCTCTCTGGTCTCTCTCTGGTCTCTCTCTGGTCTTGCTCCGGTCTCTCTCTGGTCTCTCTCTGGTCTTGCTCTGGTCTTGCTCTGGTCTCTCTCTGGTCTCTCTCTGGTCTCTCTCTGGTCTCTCTCTGGTCTCGCTCTGGTCTCGCTCTGGTCTCGCTCTGGTCTCTCTCTGGTCTCTCTCTGGTCTCTCTCTGGTCTCTCTCTGGTCTCGCTCTGGTCTCTCTCTGGTCTCTCTCTGGTCTGGCTCCGGTCTCTCTCTGGTCTTGCTCTGGTCTCGCTCTGGTCTCTCTCTGGTCTCTCTCTGGTCTCTCTCTGGTCTTGCTCCGGTCTCTCTCTGGTCTCTCTCTGGTCTTGCTCTAGTCTCGCTCTGGTCTCGCTCTGGTCTCTCTCTGGTCTTGCTCAGGTCTCTCTCTGGTCTCTCTCTGGTCTTGCTTTGGTCTCGCTCTGGTCTCTCTCTGGTCTCTCTCTGGTCTCTCTCTGGTCTTGCTCCGGTCTCTCTCTGGTCTCTCTCTGGTCTTGCTTTGGTCTCGCTCTGGTCTTGCTCTGGTCTGCTCCAGTGGTGAATGAACTCATGTGAATTATGTCCGTAGTAAAAAAGTATGAACCAAGTGTAAATATGTGTTATATTCTGGTTCTTCAAAGTAGCTCCTTTTGCTCTGATACTGCTTCACTCTTGGCATTCTCTGGATGAGCTTCAACAGGACCTGAAATGGTCTCCAACAGTCTGGAAGGAGTTCCCATGAGGCTTAGCACTTGTTGGCCCCTTCACTCTGTGGTCCAGTCCCAAAACCATCTGGACTGGGTTCAGGTCCAAAACCATCTGGACTGGGTTCAGGTCAAAAACCATCTGGACTGGGTTCAGGTCCGGTCTCTCTCCTTATTGGTCAAACAGCCCTTACACAGCCTGGTGCGGGTCTACAGCAATAGTCATGAAAAGAACTCAGACTGAGACTGAGGCAGAGACAGAGACAGAGACAGAGACAGAGACAGAGACAGAGACAGAGACAGAGACAGAGGCAGAGACAGAGACAGAGACAGAGACAGAGACAGAGACAGAGGCAGAGGCAGAGGCAGAGGCAGAGGCAGAGACAGAGACAGAGACAGAGACAGAGACAGAGACAGAGGCAGAGACAGAGACAGAGACAGAGACAGAGGCAGAGGCAGAGGCAGAGGCAGAGGCAGAGACAGAGACAGAGACAGAGACAGAGACAGAGACAGAGGCAGAGACAGAGACAGAGACAGAGACAGAGGCAGAGGCAGAGGCAGAGGCAGAGGCAGAGGCAGAGACAGAGGCAGAGGCAGAGACAGAGACAGAGACAGAGGCAGAGGCAGAGACAGAGGCAGAGGCAGAGACAGAGACAGAGACAGAGACAGAGACAGAGGCAGAGGCAGAGACAGAGACAGAGACAGAGACAGAGACAGAGACAGAGACAGAGGCAGAGACAGAGACAGAGACAGAGACAGAGGCAGAGGCAGAGGCAGAGGCAGAGGCAGAGACAGAGACAGAGACAGAGACAGAGACAGAGGCAGAGGCAGAGGCAGAGACAGAGACAGAGACAGAGACAGAGGCAGAGACAGAGGCAGAGGCAGAGGCAGAGGCAGAGGCAGAGGCAGAGACAGAGGCAGAGGCAGAGACAGAGACAGAGGCAGAGGCAGAGGCAGAGGCAGAGGCAGAGGCAGAGACAGAGACAGAGACAGAGACAGAGGCAGAGGCAGAGACAGAGACAGAGACAGAGACAGAGACAGAGACAGAGGCAGAGGCAGAGGCAGAGGCAGAGGCAGAGGCAGAGGCAGAGGCAGAGACAGAGGCAGAGGCAGAGGCAGAGGCAGAGGCAGAGGCAGAGGCAGAGACAGAGACAGAGACAGAGACAGAGACAGAGGCAGAGGCAGAGACAGAGACAGAGACAGAGACAGAGACAGAGGCAGAGACAGAGGCAGAGACAGAGACAGAGGCAGAGGCAGAGGCAGAGGCAGAGGCAGAGGCAGAGGCAGAGGCAGAGGCAGAGGCAGAGACAGAGACAGAGGCAGAGGCAGAGGCAGAGGCAGAGGCAGAGGCAGAGGCAGAGGCAGAGGCAGAGACAGAGGCAGAGGCAGAGGCAGAGGCAGAGACAGAGACAGAGGCAGAGGCAGAGGCAGAGGCAGAGGCAGAGGCAGAGGCAGAGGCAGAGGCAGAGACAGAGACAGAGGCAGAGACAGAGGCAGAGGCAGAGGCAGAGGCAGAGGCAGAGACAGAGACAGAGACAGAGGCAGAGATTGTGTTATGTTTGTTTCCTCCCGTGCTGACATTAACACCCCCCCCCTCCTCCTCCTTACGTAACGTTATGTTCCTTTATTCTTACGTTTCCATTACGCACGGACCAAACGGCGCCATTTCGCTCCGAACTGTTTTGGCCTCGCGCCACAAACGGAACAAGTCAAAGAGTATAGCTCTAAGATTAAAGCTCAGGAACCTAACTTTAAAGATCAGGGACCTAAGCTTAATCTTTAATGTTTCTGACGTCAGTACGTGACGCTGAGGGCTGAGCGCGTGGACACTTTTCAATTGAAGAATTATGTCTGACCCTAAATCACAGACAGTTCTGGATTCACCATCAGCAGATTAGAAAATCACACTCTCAGAGGCCGTGAGAGGTGTCAGACTGTACAACGAGGATGAGGCCCGTGAGAGTTGTCAGACTGTACAACGAGGATGAGGCACGTGAGAGGTGTCAGACTGTACAACGAGGATGAGGCCCGTGAGAGGTGTCAGACTGTACAACGAGGATCTGCAAACACATGTTTCTAAACAAAGACGAATCTGTCTCTTTTAACGTTTTACCTCAAAAAGAAACTCCCAGTAGGCCTCACGCACATACATCCAGGCCTCACGCACAGACGTCCAGGCCTCACGCACATACATCCAGGCCTCACGCACATACATCCAGGCCTCACGCACAGACGTCCAGGCCTCACGCACATACATCCAGGCCTCACGCACAGACGTCCAGGCCTCACGCACAGACGTCCATGCCTCACGCACATACGTCCAGGTCTCACGCACATACGTCCAGGTCCTCACGCACAGACGTCCAAGCCGAACACACCCTCGCGCACAGACAGTCCTCGCGCACAGACAGCCCTCGCGCACAGACAGCCCTCGCGCACAGACAGCCCTCGCGCACAGACAGTCCTCGAGCACAGACAGTCCTCGAGCACAGACAGCCCTCACGCACAAACGGCCCTCACGCACGGACAGCCCTCACGCACGGACAGCCCTCACGCACAGACAGCCCTCGCGCACGGACAGCCCTCGCGCACAGACAGTCCTCGCGCACAGACAGTCCTTGCGCACGGACAGCCCTCACTCACAGACAGCCCTCACGCACAGACAGCCCTCGCGCACAGACAGTCCTCGCGCACATACAACCCTCACGCACGGACAGCCCTCGCGCACAGACAGTCCTCGCGAACAGACGTCCAGGCCCTCGCGCACAGACAGTCCTCGCGCACGGATCCTCTCCTCGCGGCGGGGGGCGGTCCTTACGCGCGGATAGCAGCAGATCCGCAGAGTCTTCACGCACACGCTTCCTTCAGTCTGAGCTGCACGCGCCTCTTCAGGAACGCTCTGAGTCTGTTTTGTTGTTTCGGTCCTGGATTTCCTGCGTGCGCGTGGCTCCGGATGGTCCTTGGACTTTAAGGTCTTTACAAACTGCTGCTAAAACACAGACGAGTTCGAATCTCGCACATCAGGATCATTTTCTTGGATTGACCCAAAATCAGTGAAAAACTTCTTCAGAGAAACGAGAGCGTGCACAGTCGCGTTCACGCGCACTGGACACAGTTTATTTATCAATCCCAGAAGCTCAGGGTCTGAGGATCAGGACCGTCTCACTTCAGAGTCAAACATCGGAGTCACCGCGAGACTTTTACTAACTTCCTTAACTTCCACCGCGGCGCAGGCTCTCCGCGGCTCTCTGTGGATCTCTGCAGCTCTCCGCGCCTCTCTGTGGCTCTCCTCAGCTCTCTGCGGCTCTCTGTGGCTCTCCGCGCCTCTCTGTGGCTCTCCTCAGCTCTCTGCGGCTCTCCGCGCCTCTCTGTGGCTCTCCTCAGCTCTCTGTGGCTCTCTGTAGCTCTCCGCGCCTCTGGGTGGCTCTCCTCAGCTCTCTGTGGCTCTCTGCGCCTCTCTGTGGCTCTCCTCAGCTCTCTGCGGCTCTCCGCGCCTCTGTGTGGCTCTCCTCAGCTCTCTGCGGCTCTCCGTGGCTCTCCGCGCCTCTCGGTGGTTTCCGTGGCTCTCCGTGGCTCTCGGTGGTCTCCGCGGCTCTCGGCTCTCAGTGGTCTCCGCGGCTCTCGGCTCTCTGTGGTCTCCGCGGCTCTCGGTGGTCCAGTCTCTGAGTGTCTCAGTGTCTCAGTCTCGGAGCCTCGCGCAGACCAGACTTTCTCTCCAGTCAAACCGAGACCATGAGTTCTTGATCCGCGCGTGATTTGATCTCGTCTTGTGTCTTACGCAGTGCACGCGCGTCCTTCGGCTCTTGGAGGAATGAACCTGGACCGAGCCTCCTCCACCGGGGCCCCGGGGTCCACGCAGCCCGCGGCGCCACCTCAGGCCCCGCTGCAGCTCCCTCACCCTCGGGACATGGGACACTTTCATCCGGGCAGAGGTTCCAGCAGCCGCCGAGGATCCAGCAGCGAGTCCTCGGAGGCCGAGGTTCAAGGTACCGCCGCGCCTGACTTTATTATAATTATTATGTTATTACATTTATTACCATTATTATATTTATTATCGTTATTGTCATTATTGTCATTATTATATTTATTATATTTATTATATTTATTATATTTATTATATTTATTATATTTATTATATTTATTATATTTATTATATTTATTGTCATTATTATATTTATTATATTTATTATATTTATTGTATTTATTATAATTATTATATTTATTATACAAGCATATTATTTACCTTATTGTTGTATTTGTATTAAAGCTCGGGTGCGTAACTTTCAACAACATTTGAATGTGACATCACGATAGAATCACAGCACAGACAGAAACATGTTAAATGCAGGATATATTATGTACAATAAAAAGTGTCAATAGTACAGAGACTTATCGTACAGTCTGACAGCGGATACAGGCCCTGCTCCTTCTGAGCGTGTCTCCACTGAAGGAGCAGTTTCTCAGAGGAAAACGTTACATAACATTTAAATACATATAAATAACATACATATATATATATATATATATATATAATTTGTATATGTATATAATATAAATATATTTATACAAATAAATCTCAGTGAATAATAAGTTTATTGTAACATGTTTTGAGTCGAAACAAAAACAAAATCTGCTTCATTACTTTATTAAACTTTAACTTTATTTGAACATATATTAAACATATATCAAACATATATTAAACATATATTAAGCATATATTAAACATATATTAAACATGTATTAAACATATATTAAACTTATATTATTCTGTGTTTTACAGAAAGTTAAAGATACAGAGATAAACTCTGACCTCGGTCCATCTTTATCTTTAAATGAAAACGTCACGAACCACGTTTATTTTTCTCACCAACAGCAGATCAGAAAATCAAACAGGAACATCAGAACCGCACAGAGACAGAGGCAGAGGCAGAGACAGAGACAGGGACAGAGACAGAGACAGAGACAGAGACAGAGACAGAGACAGAGACAGAGAGACAGAGACAGAGACAGAGGCAGAGACAGAGGCAGAGACAGAGACAGAGACAGAGACAGAGACAGAGACAGAGACAGAGACAGAGACAGAGAGACAGAGAGACAGAGACAGAGACAGAGGCAGAGACAGAGACAGAGACAGAGACAGAGACAGAGACAGAGACAGAGACAGAGACAGAGAGACAGAGAGACAGAGACAGAGACAGAGGCAGAGACAGAGAGACAGAGACAGAGACAGAGGCAGAGACAGAGACAGAGACAGAGACAGAGACAGAGAGACAGAGAGACAGAGACAGAGACAGAGGCAGAGACAGAGACAGAGACAGAGACAGAGACAGAGACAGAGACAGAGACAGAGACAGAGACAGAGAGACAGAGAGACAGAGACAGAGACAGAGGCAGAGACAGAGACAGAGACAGGGACAGAGACAGAGACAGAGACAGAGACAGAGACAGAGAGACAGAGAGACAGAGACAGAGACAGAGGCAGAGACAGAGACAGAGACAGAGACAGAGACAGAGACAGAGACAGAGACAGAGAGACAGAGGCAGAGACAGTTATATATAAATAAAGTTAATAGTGGTTTGTTGTGAATGAAAATGAAAAGTTAAAAGAGAATCAGATCAAAGCGGTTCCCGCGGTAACGGCCGCGGTCACGTGGATTTAAGAATATAAAGAAAATTGTTTTAATTAAACTATTACATCTGACACGTGTTTCAGTCATTCCGATGCACGCACGGGAGGAAAGTGCCGCTGCTCGCTCACATGTCGCACTAGAAAAGTCAATGATCAAAGAAAAGAGAATCTGTAAAAAAAAAGTAACAAAATGTCGCTTTGAAGTAAAACAGAAACATTGTTTTATTATTATCGTATTATTATTATTTTATTATTTCATTATTATTATTTTATTATTTCATTATTATTTTATTATTATTATTTATTATAATTATAATAATAATAATTATCATTATCATTATTATTAGTATTCCCTTGTCACTGTAAAAAGTGTTGCTTTAATCAGAAGCAAAGCGGCCTTTTTTGAGAACTATCAACTTCCGCCCTTTATTAAGTCATAAATAAATAATTAAATACATTTTGACAGAATGAAAATCTGTGACTTTGAAGTGATTAATTTGCTTCATATTTTTGAGTTAATTTAAAGTGTAACTGTAACTTCACCTGCAGGAAGTCTGTGGTTCTTAAAGAAGGTCTGGACTCTCAGAGTCTGTGTATTATTCAAATACACTCGCTACACAGGAGGCGTAAAGCAGACGCGCGTAACGGGGATATACACTAGACGCACATATGACGGACATATGACGGACATATGACGGACATATGACGGACATATGACGGACATATGACGGACATATGACGGACATATGACGCACGTTTGACGGACATATTTATTTGTTTATTTGTTTATTGGGGATCCCCATTAGCTTCCACCAAAGTGGTTGCTAATCTTCCTGGGGTCCCAGTTAAGACGACTGTATTACAAAAAATAAAATAAAATAAAAATACAAAAAAATAAATACATTCATTAATACAGTACATTATTCAATACTACACATGAATTCACTGCCATAATGTTAAAAGCATAGATCAAATAGATCAGATAGATCAATTAGATCAATTGCCAAGTCAGCATCATAACTAACTTTTTACTAACGCGTAACTTTTTTCCATGTTAACCTATGATGATATTTACACTTCTAGCGTTATACGCGCGTATGACGGACGTATGACGCGAAGCTGCGCTCTAATTTAGGATGATTTCTAATTTTGTGCGCGCACCAACGCGTCTCCCATTGAAATCTCATGTAAAACTTTATTTTTCTAGCGGTCCTTGGCTCTAGATCACATCTACACACACACAGCACTTGTGTCTAAACATCAGCAGGAGGAGCAGCAGGTTTTACAGTGATTCTGGACATCGTTTTTTTTCTTTCATAAAGTCTCGCGTCTGGCCAAACCAGCAACAGAGACCATGGAGACAAACACATGCATGTGATTTGTGTTGCTCTACATCAGTCCTCCGTACTGTCCTCTACACTGCTCCATAGACTACACAGGGAGAGCATCAGAAGACGCGGACCTGCGCGCACGGCCTGTGTAGATACTCCAAAAAAATGTTACGCGCAGAGAGCGCGCAGTAAACGCGTACGCGCTGTTTACGCCTACTGTGTAAATTCCCTGTAAAACCTGCTGCTCCTCCTGCTGATGTTTAGATACAAGTGCTGTGTGTGTGTGTGTGTGTGTGTGTGTGTGTGTGTGTGTGTGTGTGTGTGTGTGTGTGTGTGTGTGTGTGTGTGTGTGTGTGTGTGTGTGTGTGTGTGTGTGTGTGTGTGTGTGTGTGTAGATATGATTTGAGGCCAAGGGTCTCTATAAAAATCATGTTTCACATGAGATTTCAATGGGAGACGCGCTGCAAAAACGCGCACAAAAACAGAAATCCATCCTAAATTAGGGCGCAGCCTCGCGTCATATACGTCCGTCATACGCGCATGACACTAGTGTTAATAGCCCCATTGGTTAATATGGAAAAAAGTTATGCGCGTCTGCTGCGCTATGACGCGTACGTGCTGTAACACGTGATGTGTAAATTAGCAGTAACAAATGTCTGTAAAATTACAATGAAATTTCAACATTGAATTGTTTTCAAAATAACGTTTAAACATGCAAATGTAGGTATAAATTGGATAAAAAAACAACCAGTGGCGTTTTATTACCACAATTATAATGTGATTACCGTAATTTAACATCATCCATTAATTTTCTTCCCCTTTATCCATTTCTGGGTATTTGTATTTTTGGAATGCTGGGAAACTTTTGCTTTAACCAGTGTAAGAGGTGCACACTCCTGCTTTTGTTAAAATGATGCTTTTACCGTAAGCATGTTATAGAAGTTTAGATGAAAACATATTTTCTAATGTAAACTGAAGACGTTAAAGAATAATTGAAAAGTTGTGCTCATTAAAGGAAAACAGAATTAACCTTTAAAATGTACAGAAACTTAAAGCTTAAAGCTCAAATATAGACATTTTCAGAAGTTTATATTTTCTCTGCGATGCAACCTAACATTTGCCACATTTGTTTCCAATCAACACAATATATTTGTTTTGTAATTAAAGGCCCACCATTAAGTATTTTCACTTAAAGCAATACATCAGTGTTGTACTGAGGCGATGATAATAATATAATATAATATAATATAATATAATATAATATAATATAATATAATATAATATAATATAATATAATATAATATATATATATATATTATATTATATTATATTATATATATATTATATATAATATAATATAATATAATATAATATAATATAATATATATTATATTATATTATTATACATCATATTATACATATATTATTGGTCAAACAAAATATAAAATAGTGGAGAAAAAAGTATAGTAATTACTTTCACATGAAAGTTTGGTCTGATACACTGTGTGTGTGCGTGTGCGCGTGTGCGTGTGCGCGTGTGCGTGTGTGAGTGCGCTGGTGAAGGAGGCGTGAAAGTGCCGCTGCTCGCTCACATGTCGCGCACTAAAGAAAAGCCTTTAACTAAAACAGAAATATTATTATTATTGTTATTATTATTATTATTTGGTCCGAGCCCCAACTCTGGGGTAAGGGCCCAGAGAGAGACCAGAGAGAGAGAGACCAGAGAGAGACCAGAGAGAGAGAGACCAGAGAGAGAGAGACCAGAGAGAGAGACCAGAGAGAGAGAGACCAGAGAGAGAGACCAGAGAGAGACCAGAGAGAGAGAGACCAGCGAGAGAGACCAGAGAGAAGCCTCCGAGCAGTATTTATAGCGTCCCTAATGCATCTGTGACTGAGGTCAGTCCTGTTTAAACAGAGACGCTCAGGTTTCAATGTTTTACTCTAAATAAGTAATCTTTATTTATATACCACCTTTCACAGACCAGAGTCACAAAGCAGTTTACAACTGTTATTTTTGGGCATTTGT